CAAAAGAACATCAAAGACAACCAAAACCAAAACTAAATCCTACACCTCACTTCCCTGGACCTACTGACACCAGTAAAGTCACCACGGAGAAGATGAAGAATGCCAGGAGGAGGATCCCTCCAAAACTGATAAGTAATGGAGTCATCTGAATCCAGAATAAAATTCGCCAACCAATCAGCATAGACGTTTCCTTCTCTATAAGTATGCATCAAAGTAACTGACCAACTCCTATTGATCCATGTCCGTATACGAGCAATCAGATGACCCTCACGGATTGCTGCACCAGACTTGGTGAGCACAGTGATCACACTAGATGAATCACTCTCAATGATTATATTACGAAATCCTTCGTTCCAAGCTAGCTCCAAACCACGAAGAACACCCCAGAGCTCAGCCTTAAAAGAAGAGCAAACCCCAAATTTGTAAGCAAAACCCCCCAGCCATCTCCCTTGAGAATTACGAATCAAACCCCCACAAGCAGCTAGGCCAGGATTACCTCTAGCTGCACCATCTATGTTAATGACAAATATCTTTATATGAAGCAAGAGTTGGATGGTCACTGATTATTGAATAATCATTCATTTTTACGGTGATTAAATTTTTATAGTTTGTGTTTTTACAGAATGATAGATGTCATTTTGTTTATTTAAATTTAAAATTTAAATTATTTTGTATTAATTATACATATTTTTTAAAAAGTTTGTTTTTATAAATTTTATATTGGTTATACATACATATTTAGAATATTTATGTTAATTTTTTTTAAAAAAAATACTTGTACATAAAAGATTGATTTTTTTTGCACTCAATATTGTTTCACTATCTTTAAATTTTAACTTTTACTATTCCGAGTACTTTGAAATATTATTGAATTTATAACTATACTTTTCTTAAATTGATAGAGCACTTTATGTTTGAGAAGAAAAATGCTTTTATTTTATAATTTTTGTTTTTATTTAGAGATTTTAAATATTTAAAACGTATGTGTTAAAATCTTTTAAAAAAAATACTTGTACGATTTTTTTTTCTTTTTTTTATCATATTTAGGAATTGGTTTTTTTTTAAAAAAAACTTGTTGCCTTTTGGAATTTTCACTTCTTTTTTTATAGAAAGTTGGTTTCAATGCTAATTATGTTGAATTTAATGGAAGATAAAAAATTTCATATACCTGTATTATATTTTGAAAATAAAGAGCCACCAATTTCTCTTCTGATTCATATTTCAAATATGAGCATTTAAAGCGGATCTCTCCAATGCCTAATTACATTGCTCAATTAAGCCATATAATTCTTAAAATAAAAAATTATTTAAAATATTAAAATATATTTTAGGCTACTATGTCCGACCTAATTGCATTCCTATATTTCTTTATTAAAAAAAATAAAATAGTTCTGCTAAATACTGTTCCATTTTAATCAGTTAATATTTTTAATTAAGTCATCTAATTACTTTTCCAATGCAGTTATCTGGAAAGTTTGAGGGGATATTATGATAAAAACGAATGGATACATTGCTTGAGTTTGCCTTTTCAGACACTAGTAGTTGTAAAACAAAACAAAGCAACTCTTGATTTTCCATAATCGTAATAATAATAAGGAAAAATATTTGTCCTTTTAAATGACACAACTTGTGTCATTTCACTCTCACAAAGAAGTGGGACCCACACCTTTATATTTTTTTGTCCATTGTTCCTCCTCCTTTATCTATCTTTTTTTCTTACTTAAAATGACACGACTTTACATACTTTAAAATGATACACACTTTTTCCTAATAATAATCAAACATAATACACTTTACGAACCATTTTTTGATGACTATGATTATGCATGATTACTTTTTGTATCTGGAACCTTATTAAGATGACAATCCGTTGGTGGCTTGTCCTTTTCCATTGCAGTAATTTAATTAATATGAATATTCATTTAACAACGTCTGTTCATTTCTATATAAAAATTTTAATGCACAATCTTATGGGAAAAAAAATTACAGACACTCAAAAAATTTAATGACATGGTGGCTCCTTGTTGCCTAAAACATAATGCATAATTTTTTTTTTCGAATTTTTTAGCTTGTATGTGTTTTAATATAAATTCATTTTATTAAATTTTATTTATTTTTCGAAATTAAAACAAAGGAATTAATATTTGAATGGCTCCTCATCTGTTGAGTTAAATTTGGAGGATTTCAATGATGAATAGACTAATACATGTAACAACTATAACGATTATTGGTTCTATGAATATTAAAAGATATGTAGCTTATTGTAAAAAAGTAAAACATCAAGTAAAAAACATAATGAGATGCTGACTCCTCGTTCCGTACACATAAGGCATAATGACAATTTTACAATTTCATGACAAACATATGAGAACAACATTTTAGTAACAAAAGTATAGAATTAGAGCAACATTCTAGCTTATTCTATCTTGTCTTCTTCTAAATCACTATTTGAACTTATGTTGCTGGGTTGCACTGGTCTAGCATCTGACACACTTCGAACATCATTTGAAGAAATAAATGATGATTTTATGAGGTCGAAGTAGTATCATCCATATCAAACTCATCACTTCCACCATCACGGTAAACATATCTGTCAAGAACAAAAATAAATTAAAGAACAACAACAATGGTGAGAAATAAATTATGTATGGTCAGAAAGAATAGAAGGAAAAACTCATATTGCTCTTGCAGGCATTAAAGATAGAAAACATAAGGACTTTAACATAAAAGATAAATTTTTACCGTATTGAATTTTGAGATGGTGCCCAAAAAGCACAGACAAGGAAGGCTAAACATAAATATTTAGTCAGTTAAAAGTAAAGATATTTTATTATATCATCTCGTTCATGATATTGGGTTATGGAAAAATACTTGTAAAAGAAAAAAAAAAGGTAGAGAAGAATGGCATACCTTCCTCTGAGGAAGTAAAGAAGTACATATTCTAGTGATACCAAATCATCCCGTCAGCTTTACTCTACAATAGAGGTACAAAAAAAACAAAAAATATTACATGTTCATCTAATAGAAGAACAGCTTGAGAAGACGAAGAAGATAAATAGATAGAGAAAAGAAGAAACATATGCACAAAAGCTAATTACCAAATGAAAAGATTCAGTAACACATATCCTATTTATACTCAAAATAATTTCATTTTTTAATAATTAAGCCCAATAGTGGGATATTAATAGGGTTAACAATTACCTATGCAGAAAGTAGTGAGATATTAATGATAAACTCTTTTCCCCCCTTTAAGTTTAAATTTTGAATTTAAATTCTTTTCCACCTACCAATACAAAAAGTAATGAGATATTAATACATATATCTGTTACTAAAGAATATTGAACTCATTTCCCTCCCATAAAAAACGTATTTCCAAAGCTGCCAACAATTATTAGTCCTCACAATAACCCATGCAGAAAGTAGTGGATGATTAATACATGTGTCTTCCACTACATAATTTGAACTATTTTTCCCACCCATGATCCATGATTTCAAAAATTCGAATTTTAAAAGTTTCCAAAAGAAGAAATATTTCAAATTCTTTCAAGTGTGAACACAAACCTAAGAATGAAGGAGAAAGTGACACGTCAGCAAAGTTGCCAAAGTTTGGATGAAGATTTTATATATTAAGATTGCTACAATTTATTTTATTTTATTTTTGGGACATATACTAAAGTTGATTAATGATCTAAATAAGAGAAGAAAAAAAATCCAATCATATATTAAAGAGAATATAATTTCTTATATTGTCTCATGCAACACATAAAATAAATAAATGAGAATCACTAAAAAAAGAAAAAATAAATATATTTTATCTATTTTATCTATTTTTTTATGTGTATATAATATATAATTATATGATTAAATATAAGAAATAATATTTCTATAAACACAAATTGGGTGGAGTCGAAGAGATGGAGCCATTTTAGGAAGGTCAAAACCCAGCCTCAAGGTTTACTATGATGTGAGTATGTGATGTGATTCAATATATATTTTTTTTAGTGATGATTTACTTTGGAAATCACGGGTTTACAAAAATGTTATTTGTTTGCTGCTGCCTAGGTAAGGGGGCTATAGGCTCTGCTGTAGCAGAAGACTTATTTTGTGTCATAGTCAGGCCAATTCTTGAGAAAATCAAAAAAATATTTGGTGTCACAGTCAGGCTTATTTCGTGTCATAGTCAGGCCAATTTGTGTCACAGTCAGTCAGACTTATTTCGTGAAAAAAAAATTAAAAAAAATATATTGTGAAGTTAGCCGGAGATGATTTTCTTCAATAACATTGAGAAAATCATATCCCAACATCTAAATGAATACGTCAGGCCTATTAAATTTAGGTTTATTAAATTTTATTAGGTTGACAATAAAGCAACCAGAGGAATTATTGGGATTCACAATGAGGGTTAATTATTAGGTTGACATTAAAAGAAAAATTGAAAAAATTAATTGAATAAAAAATTAATTTTCTGTTTTTTTTTCGTATTTTAAAATATTTAAAATATGTAATAATTCCAATGTAAAAATAGCTGAGTCATTAAAATAGGTGAGTGATTATATTTCAAAATTCAAAATTTTAAATCAGCTGACTCATTAGATGAGATGACCAATTCCAATGTGAAGGTAAGTGCCACATTAAATGCTTTGTCTGCCACCTCATTTGTTTTAAATTATTAGAAATTTTAAATCAGCTGACTCATTAAATGAGATGACCAATTCCAATGTGAAGGTATGCGGCGCATTAAATGATTTGTCTGCCACTTAAATGTAATGAAGCTGAATCCACCATGTTTTATGATTGTAGGTACTGAAATTAATCTCCTTTAGTTTTTGAATTACTGTGCATGTATTACTTTTTATACTAGACTCCATTTAACATAATTCTTTATTTTTTTTTGTTTTTTGATAACAACATAATTCTTTATTTATGATAGGTATGTATCCGCATGTGAAGCTGCTTGGAGAATATTTGAATTTGAAATTCATTACAGAAACCCCCCTGTGATGAGATTGCCGTTTCAGTTACCCAATGAAAAGATTGTTGTTTTTCATGATACTGCATCAATATCTGAAGTAAAGACAAGGGAGGAGTTTAGACAATCAATTTTTGAGAGTTGGATGGATGCAAATAAAATTTTTCCAGAAGGTAGGCATCTTACTTATGCTGAATACCCAACTCATTTTGTTTATAATGCAAATAGTCAAGAATGGCATCCTAGAAAAAAAGGATTCTCAATTGGAAGAATAAATCGTTTTTCTGCAAATAGTGGAGAAGATTCCTATCTTCGAATACTTCTTAATTTTAAAAAGGGTTGCACAAGTTACGAGGACCTGAGAACAATGGGGTGATGTTTCCAACATTTAAAGTGCTTGCTATTCTCTTGGACTTTTGGATGATGACATTGATGCAATTAAGGAGGCAAGTTCTTGGCAGTCAGCTTCTTATCTTGGACGTCTTTTTGCTCTGTTGTTGTTCGGTAACTTAATGAATACACCTGAAAATGTTTGGGGGAAGTGTTGGAAATTTCTCTCTGACGATGTTCTTTATCGACATAGAACAACAGTAGGACATCCAGGTATTCATTATGAACATATCGTATGCATTATAAATTTTTTTATCATTATTTTTTTCTGTTGAATATACCGCTTTTTGTGGTAAAAATAATGTACCATGAGTCCTGTTAGAATTGTACTTTCAATTGTTATTTTTTCATTATTTTCCACGTTTCTACAGATGCAAATCTTACTGAAGAACAAATAAAAAACACAACACTTGCTGAAATTGATAAAGTGCTACAGAGTAATGGAAAATGCCTTTCTGATTACCCTTCAATGCCCTGCATCACTGGTGCATCTTTGCTTGATATGCACAATTGCTTAGTGCTTGATGAATTACTGTATGACAGATTATTTTTGGTTGAAGAACATAAAAGACTAATGAGTTCCCTTACAGATGAGCAAAAAGTTGTCTATGACAAGATAATTTCAGCAGTTTCAGTGGGTACAGGGGGATTCTTTTTTCTATACGGCTTTGGTGGTACAGGAAAAACATTTATTTGGAATACATTGTCAGCATCCATTAGATCAAAAGGCGAAATTGTACTTAATGTTGCTTCTAGCGGGATTGCATCACTTTTGCTTCCTGGAGGCCGGACAACACACTCTAGATTTCGTATTCCAATTAAGATCACTGAGGATTCAACCTGTAATATACGGCAGGATTCTAATATTGCCGAATTGCTGGCGAAAACAAACCTAATCATCTGGGATGAAGCTCCAATGGTACACAGATTTTACTTTGAGGCTCTAGACAAAACACTTAGAGATGTTCTTAGATTTTCTGATTCAAGTTGTGTTGATAAACCATTTGGTGGGAAAGTTGTTGTTCTTGGGGGTGACTTCAGGCAAATCTTACTTGTTGTTCCTCATGGAAGCAGACAAGATATAGTCCATGTAACCATTAATTCTTCTTGTCTTTGGTCTCATTGTCATTTATTAGCTTTGACCAAGAACATGCGGCTTAGTTCTCGAAGTGACATTCACAATTTAATGGAAATAAAGGAATTTTTCGATTGGCTTCTTAAAGTCGGGGATGGTGTTCTTGGAGATGATGTGGATGGAGAATCTATTATAACAATTCCAGATGAATTATTGATTAAAAAATCACTAAATCCACTTTCAGATTTGATGGATTTTGTGTACCCTGATATCTTGGATCATATTTTAGAACTCACATTCTTTAAAGAACGTGCCATTCTGACTCCACATTGAATAATACTTCTGACAATTACCTGTTCAGTTCTTCTGTTCTTTATTCGCTAAATCATATGTTATGCTAACATATTCTGTTTTTATTTCTTTTATAGTTAGCAGGCTGATGTCAGAGATATTTTGCTGGAACACCGAATTGTATCATGTTATTTGTGAATTATTAATTGTGAGCAGTATTGACATTATGCCATTTAAATTGTTTTTACATTGAGATTATTCTATTTATCACTTTTGCAATTGGACGTGAAGGTTACTCGATACAATTAAACGTTTCATCCTACAAAATTTTATTTTACTTTTTTATCTTTCTGAATGCTACAGCCTTTTCAAGTTAAAAATTATAACAATACAATTATTTTTTATTATGATATTATTATTAAGAGTTTCATATCAAGATCAATGTGTGGATTTACCAGTAAGACGACACACCAACGACGGCGACAACGATTTTGTTCTTTTTCCCCCGGGCATTGCACAAGTAATTCACTAGTAGTTATTAAAACCGGACCGACTCGGTCGGGTCGACTCGGGAACCGGTAAATCGGTCATATAATCAGTCCGGTGTGACCCGATCCAACCTGGTCGGTTAACCGGTGACCCGGCCCGGTCCCAAATTTTTTTTTTCCAAATTTTTGTTGTTTTTAAAAAAATATCATAATAGCCATATTTGAATTTTTTTTACTTATTGACTTACATAAGTTATGTACCTACAACACTAATATTATCTCAATTATATATTATGCATAAAATTTTGAATTAGTTTATAGTTAGAGATGTCGTTTTCTGAACCTAAAGCCCTGTATCACGATCATTATATTTTTATTTGATTTTTATTTGATAATAATATGTGATTTATTATATTTTGTATTAAAATATTTGAAATTTGTATATTTTTTTTTAGATATTTGAGTATGTTTATAATTTTTTAATATAAATTATAAAATTACATATAATTACCGGGTCATGCGGTTGAACCAGTGACCCAGTGACCCGGGTCAAAGACCGGGCCGATTTTAATAATATTGTCCTCAGTCCTTCGATTCCAATTGATTTCACACTGGCTGTCTTTCATCATGTAAGGAACGTTTGGTAGAGAAGAAATTTTTTTTAACCAGAAAAATAAATTTGCTCAGAATATGGTGGAAAGAATTTTTTGCCAGGTAAGTTAAAAAAAGATGTTTGACAGGGCAAAAATTTTTCCAAAAATTTGGGTGAATTTTACTGATGTTATATTTGGATTATTGTAAAATAGTGATGGGAAAGTTGACTATAGTTACAAAATTACCCCTAGTTTGAAACTGAATAAAAAGTTATTTCGCTTGTTCCGTCTCCTTTTTTTTTCGTTTGTTGTCTGCTACCATTGTTGTGGGTTCTCTCACACAAAGAAGGAAGCAACACCACGAGATTAAAAATATGAATCCACACCAAACCACAACAATGGAGCACTGATAGAGATTAAATAGAAACTGGAAGAAAGATTCCGTACCTGCAAAGAAGTATCCTTTGAAGATGGAATGTGGCTCTGTTGTGCGTCCTCGTCAACATTGTAAGGTGAGAAAACACGTCAACAATAACGAATCGAAGACAAAATGAATTGGTTTTCATAAAAAATTAGAGCTTTTGAACATCTACAAGGCAAATCGTGAAGAGGAAGATGAGGAACAACCAAACAAGTGTTTCAAACATTGTGGCTGGAGGGTATTTTGGTAAAGTGAAAGCTGAGTTTGGGTTCTTTTGCTACCAGCAACTTTTTTTACCATATCTTAAGGGGGTGTTTAGTAGGATGGAAAAAAATTTGTCCAGGCGAGTTGGGTGAGAAAAATAAGTTAGCCATGTTTGGTAGGAGTAAAGTAAAAAAATGGACGGCAGCAATTTTTTGCGGGGCAGGATGTTTTGTACATGATAGCTCCATGAATTTTTTCCATTTAGGTATGGTAAAAAAAGTTGTTGGCAGCGAGGGAACCCAAACTCAGCTTTCACTTTACCAAAATACCCTCCAGCCACAATGTCTGAAACACTTGCTTAGTTGTTCCTCGTCTTCCTCTTCACGATTTCAAAAGCTCTAATTTTTTTATGAAAACCAATTCATTTTGTGTTCGATTCGTTATTGCTGACCAGTTTTCTCACCTTACAGTGTTGATGAGGTCGCACAACAAAGGCACATTCCATCTTCAAAGAATACTTCTTTGCAGGTACGAAATCTTTCTTCCAGTTTCTATTTAATCTCTATCTGTGCTCCATTGTTGTGGTTTCGTATTTTTAATCTCATTGTGTTGCTTCCTTCTTTGTGTGAGAGAACCCACAACAATGGTAGCAGACAAACAAATGAAAAAAAAAGGAGACGGACAAAGTGAAATAATGTTTTATTCGGTTTCAAACTGGTGGTAATTTTGTAACTATACTCAAACATAACATCAGTAAAATTCACCCAAATTTTTCAGAAAATTTTTGGCCTACCAAACATCTTTTTTTAACTTACCCGGCAAAAAATTCTTACCACCATATTCTGAGCAAATTTGTTTTATTGGTTAAAAAAATTTTCTCCTCTATCAAATGGCTCATAAATAAAAAATTTCATGGAAATGAAAAAAAAAGAGACGGACAAAGCGAAATAACGTTTTATTCATTTTCAATCTGGGGTTAATTTTGTAACTATAGTCAATTTTTCTATCATTATTTTACAATCTTACAAACATAACCTCAGTAAAATTTACCCAAATTTTTTGGAAAAATTTTGGCGTATCAAATATCTTTTTTTAACTTACCCGGCAAAAAATTATTCCCACCATATCCTGAGCAAATTTGTTTTACTGGTTAAAAAAAAAATTCTTCTAGCAAACAGCCCCTATATGAAAAAATTTACGGAGCTATCATGTACCAAACATCCTGTCTGGCAAAAAAATGTTGTCATCCATATCCTGAGCTATTAGGCGTTTGGTACGCGTCATTCTCCAAGATTCTCAGAAAACTGAATTTTTCTAAATTTTAAATTTTCGGATATTATCGTAAACTGAATGTTAAAATCATATTTTTGAGAATTGAGATTCCCGGACAAAAAAAATTTCTCCTCTATCAAACATCCACAGAGTCGCAGACCTAAGCACATGGTGGTTAGTTGCCATTGATATTGTTGTTATCTTTTCACTGGTTTAGTTTTTGCTATAAATTCAGAATTGCAACGTCGAAGCGTGGTAAGTATTTATACCATATATGGGTTTTATGATTTCTTATCTCCTTATCACCTTTACAACAAAAGTTTGAGTAATATTTTTTTTAATTTTAATTTTCATTCAGAATATATTTTATTTATTTAGTTTTTTTGGCGCTATTTTATATTTTTAATAATTATAGAATCAATTTTTTTACTCATTTTTTCATAATTTTAAATATCTTTGTTTAATATTTGTTGACCCAACGTCTTAGTCTTAATAATTCCTTTAGAATGGGTTTGGATCAAGATTGATAAGGAAAATAATCGATGGGTTATGAGTTATGACTAGCCTTTCCCTTATTTAGAGGTTGTTTGGATGAGTTTTTTCTCTCTTCAAAAACTGCTTTTTTTCAAGAAGAAAAAAAGCACTTCTCGTTTTTAGTTCGTTTAGATGTCTGCTTTTAAAAAAACAGAAGTCGCAAAAAAGCTAAAAATCTACTTTTTCCATAAGCTAAAAATTTTAACTTCTAAGAAAAGCAAAAGTCAAAAGCCAAATATTTTTTTCAAAAATTAAATATTTTATAAAGATATAAATAGCTTTAACTTTTATAAAAATCACTTCTAAAATAAAGAAAAGATAAAAGTTATTTTTTTGAAAAGTTCAAACAAACAGGTTCTTAATGTCCTCTAAAAAGAGAGAGAAAAAAAACAGTATATATAATAAATATAACCTTCCTCGTAATCCATTAATTAAATCAATGAGCAATTGACATAGTACCAACCAGTTGAGGTTGAATAACATTGCAGTATTGCACCAAACCCGCGTTTCTATTTTAGCTACTAGCTAGCAGGCAGCGCTTCCGTGGAGCATGCCGAGAAGAAAAATATATATTAAATAAATCAAAGAACACACTTTCACTAATAAATAATGGAAAAAGTCTTTATTATTTTAAAGAATATAAAGTTGTGTTATTTTAAGTGAGAGAAAGAGATAAATCATGAAAGAAAGAGTGGAGATTTTTTTTTTAAAATTGTGAATCACACTTCTTTGTGAGAGTGAAAGAAATATAAGATATGTCTTTTAAAATGACATATCTTTTTTCCATAAATAAAATAATTAACCAGAGAAAATGCACGGACAACGCGTGTAGCAGTTATCAGGTATGAGTATCAATCACAGCTCCTAGCCGCACAATGACTATAGTCAGTGGCGGATTCAGGAAATTAATGAAAGGTGGACACTCAATAAGTTTAAGTACATATAGATTTGGGTCTGGTCTGAAACGCGTCTTGCGAGCAAATGCCAGCTGACTGGGTCTGGTTGAGATCTAGATCAGGATTGCGACTCAACTAGACCCATGATGGAAGAAGAAGCAAATGTTTCAACTTCCAATAACGAAGATTGAGGTTTGAGAGGAGATGAATCAGTATGTAGATGTAAACGATGGGTTTGGAATAGAGCTATCTGCTGTTAGGTTTGGATAATGACGATTGAGGAGAAAAAAAAACTCACGGAAAAATAAAATAGAAGGAGGAAAATTAAAGGGGTAAGATATCGTAACAACCAACTAGGGTTACTACAAATCAATTTCACGTTAGATCAATTATGTTGATCCAACGGTTATATTTATTTCTATCTTTGTATGGTTATGATCCCCATATTTATGTAAAAGCATTAAATATGGAAAATCATAACCATACAAAGGTGAAAATAAATATAAAGTATTAAATATGGGGAATCATAACCATATAAAGATGAAAATAAAATATAACTGTTAGATCAACATAATCGATTGAAATTGATTGGTAGTAATATTGGTAGTAATCCTAATTGGTTGTTACAATATCC